AATATGGTTCATGGGGTCACGAAGAGTCGGACACGACTTAACGACTAAACAACAACATACACACACATATATGCATTCCTTCTAAGTTAATTTGTGTGTTGATTGAATTTTCATATAGGTATAAGTATTAGGTCTGAAACAAAAGGTATATGTATTTTTTAGAGTTACAGAATCATAGAACTGGAAGGGGCCATTTAGCAGTCAACCCATCACCCATCCAATAAGGAATTTAAATAAAAGCATCTTTGATAGGCAGGGTCTACTTGAACACATCTCAGAAAGGGGGAGCTTATCCCCTCCATCAGTAACTGATTCTGTTGTCACAGGTTTTAGGAAGGATGTTCACTGTTTTATTATTATTATTATTATTATTATTATTATTATTATTATTATTATTATTATTTTAAAAAAAAGAAGAACAGTAAAAATGAACAAGAACTAATATTAAGAAAAAGAATAAGAGAAAGAGAAATTAGAAAAAAAGAGTAAACATCAAGAGTGCAGAAACAAGAAGAGACAAAGGGAAAAAAAAGAATTGACTTCTGACTCTCCTTGCAACAGATATAAGTAACAATATACATCAAACTCTTGCTCTAAATGTACAACATTTTTTGATCTTCTCATTTGTCTTTCTCTGTTTTTCTTTTTCTCCTCTCCTCTTTTTTGATACTTTCCATGGAAATTCCTGTAGCCTCCTGGAGCATTGCCGGAAGCATAAATACCTGTCAAGTTCAGGCGAAGTGTTTGCCCTGTTGGTTAGCAGTCTGCTTGAGAACCTTTTGGATTACCGAGCGATTATGCATGATGGGAGCAAAGAGAACCGGATGAGTTGTACTGTCAACGTACTGGTATGGGGAGGGTCTAGGGCTGGGTGCCAAACTTGGTTCCTATGAAGCCACTTTAGATCCATAGACCCACTTTAGACCTGCTGCATCAGAAGTTCAGGAGCTTATTGAGGTTCCACCTGCTCTGTTAGCTGTTACAGGGACAAGTTGTAAATTGCAGTTGAGTGGAAATAATGATAGAATCAGGATGATAAAATAGCTGGCATATTAAGAAAAGGAAATTTGGGGAACATAATGCAGAAGCTGGACAAAGGAGCCAGAATTTGACTTCTAGGAGTCTAGAGGCTAAAGAACTGTGAGCAGCACAGTGAGAGATCCTACTGATCCACTTTCCAAAATCTAAATGGGGAACACCTTCTTCTTCTCAGTAGATAGGCCTCTCCCCACCTCAATGTTGTAACCAGGGATATGTCCAATTGATTGATGACCTGGACTTTTCTCCTATTTTTCCTCCAGGCACTTAAGTCATGGGGTACATGGTGGTTTCACTTATATCCTCATAACTGTATCACCTGGGAGCTTAGCCTGATGGGTCGGGTTAATTTCAGAGATAAGCAGGGAGTGGAATCCAGTTGTCCCTATTTTTGGCCAAGATTCTCAACAACTTTAATATTTTGGGTCTCCATAGGCATCCGTAAAAAGCAGCCACATCAAAATAAGGACATACACATCAGGATGTCATCACACAAATGATATTATTATATAATGGCTTAATGACGTTTGACCCAAGTATGGAAGTTGATTTGAGTGATGATCTCATGAGCACATACCATCATTTGCTGCACCCCCTACATAGTTTATGCAACTTTCCAGTTAGTTAAATTGAGGTGTCCTTCAGCCAATTCTACTTCTCTGTTACTGACTATAGAGGATTCTTCTTTTGGGAGACTGAAAAGGAATATTCGGGTGCTTGGAGGGATGTAGAAATTTGCAAAGGTTCAAAGAATCTGACATTTAGAAATGGAAGCCAAGAGCAACTTACCATCCCCACCCCAACTAAAATAAAAATCCAATAAGATTTGAGTACCTTCAGCCAGTACATTTTTTTTAGGAAAAGGTTCCATATAGATAAAGTGAATGAGTAAATATAGCAAATAAATAAATGTGAACCTTGGCTTGGAAAAGAAATGGCAAAGGGAGAATCAAATGGTCTGCTAAAGGAGGGGAGGCTGACTGGCTGTCTGGCTGTCTCCCTCCCTCCCCAAATGGCCTCCTTTCTATTATGTAATGAGATCATCTGCCACCTGTCATTGGAGATCACACATTTAGCGTTCTCTTATTTGCAAAGTGGAGTCCTTGGGGTTCTCTGAGCTTGGTTGTTTTCTTGCAAACATTTCCTTACCTGGCTAGGTAACATCTTCAGTGCTGAAGATGTCATTAGCCTCAGTTAGGTTTTTATCTCTGCAAGGATTTGGACCCAAGATTGCATTAGTGCTGGTTGAACACTGTTTCTTCATGTATCATGAATTATGTGTAGAACCAGTTCAGGCATCTCATCAAACCATCGATATGGAGGTTGAACTATAGTTTAGTGATGTCTAAGTTGGCAAACAATACTGCATCAACTATGGTTTGAAAATCCATTAACCATGGCTTGCCTATCTGAATACAGGCTCAAAGGCTTAGTTTAGGTTCTCAGCTGGAGATTGACAAGCTTGGTGTGATGTCTGAACTGGACCAAATATTGTACATTTTTTACTTTTTATTTCTGAAATCATATGGTTATTCCCAAACTACTCTTGTTTTTCTTTTTGCAGAATTTTTATAAAGAAAAGAAAAGAGAGGATATCTACATCAGGTAAGGTACATCAGTAGATTTTCAGACTTCTGAATAGGCTGATGCAAAACAGTATTTGAGGTACTTCTGATTCACGTGTATTGTTGTTTTCTAGGTACTTGTATAAGCTCCGAGATTTGCATACTGATTCCGAAAGCTACACTGAGGCAGCGTACACACTCCTGCTTCATGCAGAGTTACTCCAGGTGAGTGTGTGAGATCTCAAAGGGCAGGTCCATGTACAACATTTTGCAGTAATCAAGTCTGGATTTTGTTACAGCAGTGTTTCTCAACCTAGGCAAGTTTAAGATGTGTGGACTTCAACTTCCAGAATTCCCCACCAGCAAAACTGGCTGGGGAATTCCAGGAGTTGAAGTCCACACATCTTAAACTTGCCAGGCTTGAGAAACATTGTGTTAAGGTATGGCTAGGCTGTATCTACACAGCAGGTGGAATCACATTAGGCATACCAGCCCAGACTAAATCAATTAAAAAAACAAAAAAGCAAAACTTCTTTCATTTCCCCAGTGGTCCTGGAGAATCCAAAAGAAGGATGGGCTCAGAACAATCCCAGACTGCTACACTGAGCCTAATCAAGGAGTGAAACCTATCCAAAACAAGTGGAATCTTGCCCCTTTAGCCAAACACCTATCAAAAATAGCTCCATGTTGTCTGGGTTGTTATTATGATTTCAAATTATAACTTGTCTTGCTCCTGAGATGGGTGTTCAAAGCATCAGCAGCAACAAGCTGTTAACTCTGGAAGGTAAAGGGATTACTCTGCTCTTCAGCTGCCAGAAGAACACTTTCTGATTCTTCAGATATCTAACATGATGGAACCTCTTCCTTCAGAAGAAGAGTTAGAGCAAAATTGCATATGATGTCCTTAATCCCCATGTTGTCTTTCCTTTATCCTAGTGGTCTGATCAGCCATGTGCTCAGCATCTGCTTCAGAGAGACAGCTACTATGTCTATTCACAACAGGAGCTCAAGGAGAAGCTTTACCAAGAAATAATTGTCTTCTTCGACAAAGGCAAAGTGAGTCTGTCATAGGCACCCTCACCTTTGGCAGGGCTAGCTTGGACATGATCACTTGTGTTATTTAATTTCTGTTTTGGTCCTGCTGGAATTCAAACTAATAGATTGGCCTTTCTCAAATCCCTCCAAAATGCTGGAACCATTTGTTTTCATGATTATTTATTGATAATGATTAAGTGTCATCAAACCATTGTCAACTCTTAGTGACCACATAGATAGATTTTCTCCATGATGATCTGTCTCCAACCTGGTCCTTCAGTTCTTCCAACAGGGCACTCATCACTTCTGTAACTGAGTCCATCCACTTTGCTGTGAGTCGTCTTCTTCTTCTCTTTCCTTCTACCTTTCCCAGCATTAGAGCCTTCTCCAGAGAACCAGGAGTTGCAGACAGCCCCAACATGCCCCCGCCCCTTTTTTTAATCCCCAAAGGCCTTTTTGATCCTACCACTGCATTGCAAAACTGGTTGGGGCAGTCTCCTGTTATTTTGAGATGGAAAAAGGCCCTTTACTCTTGGAGACTATTTTTTACAGTTTAAAATACTGAGTACCTACTTTGATGCATGCTAAGGACTAGGAAGACATGAGCATTGACTCCAGGGCTTGGTATTTTGATCATGTATAATATCTTCCATGCAAAGATATCAGTTAAGTGTACATGGCCAGCCATAAGCACAAAAATGGAACATGTCAAACTCGCTGGAAAAATGAGTGCTGCCGTTTCAGCACTTAGAATCCACTAAAATGATCTTTGAAGAGGATCATAAGCAGTATTGAGTAGCCACATGGAATATGCTTTAATCCAACCCTGCTCATGAATGAATGGTCTGTTTTATTTCTTTTCTCTTTAACTTCTTGAAGATGTGGGAGAAGGCGATCCAGCTAAGCAAAGAATTGGCTGACATGTACGAGAACAAAGTGTTTGATTACGAGAGCCTTGGCAATCTCTTGGTAAGGGAAGGAGATTTTTAGTCTTCTGCTGGGTGAAAAAGACTGATGGCAATGCCAGTTTTCTCACTCCCAAAGGCATTTCTTGTGTTCCTTGTTGAGAGACAAGCAATAAATTAGAAGCTTGGGAAGCAGTCGTGTAAATGGGTGTTTAGTGTAAATGAACGTGAAAATTAATTTAAAAGACTGCCCAACTCACTCTTCTTCCTTTTAACATGCACTTGCAGAAAAAACGGGCCACGTTCTATGAGAACATCATGAAAGCAATGAGACCTCAACCAGAATATTTTGCTGTTGGGTATTTTGGCCATGGATTTCCCTCCTTTCTTCGGGTAAGGATGCTAAGGGGGTCTTAATGATGGTCCTGCATAATCCTGGGATATAGCCTGTAATCTTGTAATTAGGATTAACTCCCACCATTAACCCAGTCTGGCAGGGAGAAGAATGCTTGGTTTGGGGGAAGGCAATACAAAGCTTCACCTCTGAATAAGCAGCACAGATGCACCAACTGTACCTTGTCCCACTGATAAAGAGTTAATTAAAATATCATTACTGTAGTGCAGTATTAACATAGACATTGCTGCAAGTGCGAGCAAGTTTTGCTTTCGTGGTTGCAAATCCAAACTAATTGTTGTTTCCCTTTTAGCTACAGGGAAATTGCTGTGGCTTTCTTTGTATATATGCATGTATATATTGTACACATTTATATACAACCCCTCCCAAATGGCCTTGCAAGTAATACAGAGTGGACTAAAAACAGAGAGAAATGCTAGTAGTTCCTGATTTTTTGTTTTCATGCAAAGTTGGTTCGTGAATAAGTCTAGCAGATTATATTCTCTTTCCTTGATGTTCAGGAAAGATATTGGCCATATTCACACAACATACTAAGCCAGAATTGATAGGAGTTCTGGCTTATTGGTAACAGACATGCTAGTGCATTCTTCCTGATTGCTCCCTGGAAATGGCAAAAGCAAGCAGGAGTGAAAAATCTTAACATTATATTCATAATTAAAACATCTAGTTTTTCAGTCTTCTGATAAGCTGGACCTCAGACCAGTGTTTGGATTTTATAGATCCTAGCTTGTTTGAGGAAAGAGGGAATAGGTCTTGGGTTTGAATGTAAGGCAAAATATTTTTACCTTTCTATATTTTTGGCTATTCCACTCCAGGACTAAATGCAAAGGGTTTACTACTTGTGAAGATGGTATTCTCAGTGATTCAGCAAGCATTGTGTGATTGTCCAACAATGGCAAGTTAAACCCAAGACCTGCCTACTTTTAGGTCATAATTGGATAAGAGGGAAGGGTCAAGGAAAAGATTTGATGTATACATTTGAACAATTGGAAATTTTGAATCAAGAGAGTCTGGTTTAGATTCATCCATCCCAAACCAAAACCATTTTAACCACAAAACTTCACTGCTGAAGTGCCCACTCTGTTTTCCCATTCTCTCAAATGCTGAGAATTTTGTAGTTCCCCCAATTTATCTCTCATATCTACCTCTTTTAGAACAAGATGTTCATCTACCGTGGAAAGGAATATGAAAGGAGGGAAGACTTCATTGTGAAACTGTTGACCCAGTTTCCAAATGCTGAGAAAATGAGCAGCACTGCCCCACCAACAGAAGACATCAAAGCTTCTCTTAAGCAGTGTATCTTTTGGGAAGGAACAGTTTAGAAGCTAATTAGGTGACAGAGTTGGTATGGAGAGCAGAGGGGTGGAAAAGTTGATGATGGGAAGAGAGGTGAACATAACCTTTCTATCATTTCACCAGCTCTGGCTCATTTCTGGTATCAGAAATGGACTTTGCAGTATATTTTGCTAGTCTGTTTGCCATTCAGATCCAAACGCTTGGCCTGAAGTCCAGCATAAACTATGCATAAAGACAGAGATCGAATGCCTGGATCCAAAGCAGGACTTGGAAACCAACTGTAATATCTGGATTTGATTTAGGTTTCCTGCTATGTTCTGAGAATTTGAAAAACAAGTCCAATTGCCATTATTCTGTCACTGGAAACTGATTAATGTCATGGATGATTTTATTATTTGGCTCCTATGTAATTTCCCCCCATCCTTTAATTTTGTTTAAATAGAAATGGTTTCCCCTCTTCATTCACAGTCTGTGGCCCTGTAGTCACATATGGCTTTTTTTTTCAAACCCATCACTTCTCCATCCACTTTTCCATTTTCCCAAGGTTGACTTCCTTGAGCTGTCATCTAGGGTATTTATTCTGCAAGTTGGTTGATATTTCCAGACTATTTCAGGTATCCCTCATATTCCTTGGAAATGTAATACTGTAAGGCGTCCTTACTGTGAGTACATCTGTAATGGTTAATAGCTTTGGCTCAGATAATTTTTCAACCTAGTCCAGTATTGTCTACTCAGATTGGCAGTATCATTTTAGGCATATGTCTCTCTCTTCATCTGCTACCAGTGCTTTTTAATTGGAAATACCAAGGAAAAATTGCACATAGGACATTTCTGCTTACACATTTAGTGTGATCAGCCATATGCTAAGTACAACCTCTCAGTCTTACTTTATAATCAGAGTAGAGTATCTACACCAGCCCTTTACAACTTGATCTCTCCAGATGCCCTGGGTGACAACTATCTCAATTCCCAAATGAGATCCGGAAAGTGCTCAGATTGGATGAAGCTGTTCAACACAGTTGTCAATGTCTCAGGAGCCCAACCCACTTAGCTTTTGGCTGTATTCACACAACAAGCTTAAGCTGGTTACCAAGTTAACCCATTTCTGCATTCTTACAAGACACTGAAGTACAAGCTAACCCATTAGCCTGGATTCACACAACACCATAAGACACATTCCAAAGCTAACCATGGTTGAAATTAACCAAGCTTAGCGTGTCTGAATGCCACCACTACAATAATAACTTACCTGGTTCAGTGCATTAGGAAAAAAACAGCTTTTGTGATTGTAGCCCCTCCCATTTAAGTGTTCATTTTTTCTTAATGAGGGATGGATCATAGGATCTGCTTGTCCACTTTCTAGCCACCTTCTCCTTGTTCCTTCCTTCCTTAATCTGCATATGCAGACATACAGTGTTTCATAGTTAAGCCTGTCATGAACCTTCCTCCAAGCTACAAAGACAAGCCTGTTCCAGAGCAGATTCTAAAGTAAGGATTTCTCCCCAATTTATTTCTCCTCATCTAGAAACAAATTACTTAGCTAAGAGCCGCTTTGCCTGGTTTTCATAAAGACCCAAATGCAGGAAGACCAAGTGCAAAATTCTTGACAGCCTCAAGGCATGAATTAATCCACCCCCTTTTTAGAAGACAGGGGTGGTGGTTTCACAGGGGTGTAATGGTGGGGAAATGTCTGGGAGTATGATTTTGAAATTCATAGGTGGGGTATTACATGAGATCATTTCTTAAATACCATTTCTTATAGGGCACTAAGCCATAGTTTGTTTAACTATATTTTGTTGAATAAAGTGCAGCTACTGGGTTCAGCCATAGTTAGCCAAAACTCAACAAACCATAATATAATGTAGGAAGTTGGAATAAATCCAATTAGTATCTGTTTAGCATGCATTCATGTGTTCCACTGCTTTTAACATCCATTAACTGGGATTATTACAGTAATGATATCAATCAATCAATCAGTTTATTACAGTCATAGACCAGTACAACTCAGTAATGATATCAGACTTTGATTTTAGGTGTTGGCTGAGATTTTATGTCATGTCGTTCACATGTACTGCTTTAGCTTTTATAGATCCAATGAAGTACAACAGTTCCAGCACTCCCGACCTTTCAGGAAAGGAGAAAAGGATCCTGAGAATGAATTTGCTGTGAGTAATTTCTTCCCTGCCGTCCTTGTCGTTTTTTTTTTTTTTTTTTCCTTTCCTGTCATGCCTTTCAGAGGTTTGCTTTTCTAGCTTGATTCTTTGGTTCTTCCATTTCTGAGGTTTAAATTCTTGCATCCTGGTGCTAAATATGTAGCAAGCAAAAAGACGTAGGGATCAACAGTTATAAGAACCTAAGAAGCTGTATTTATACAAAGCCAAACGCTTAGTCCATTGTCCAGGGATGGAACACATGTGATAGCATGAACCTCCGGGTTATGTTTGTGTGTTTGCATCTCCTAACAAAATTTAGTGGTATGATTTCCAAAATCTGATAGCGGATTGAGGTGGGGAATAGATAATAAACTATAGTGTAACCCCCATAATGTAATGACCGCCCTAACCTCAACTTTAGAAGAACGGGGGGGAAAAGGAAAATCCTACCTTAAACCATATAGGAAATGTGATCCCCTGTGCATTTTCTGGCAACCAACAAGTTGTTCAGTTTGGGTTTTAGTTACTGTTGCCTGTGTTGACTAGCAGTTGGCCTCAGGTAATGGCCTTTCCCCTCATATTTCAAATGAAAAACATCAGAGAAACTTTAAAATCTAACTCTTAGAACATCCTCTCTCAACCTAGTCAAGGGGATGTAGGAAAGTGTTGATATAAAACAGGGAGTCCTTTCAATATTCTGGCTCAAGTCATTGGGAGGTCTAGATGCTTGAAAAACAGACTGGAACAACCGGTCAGGCCCAGCCCAAGAACAAGGGTGAAACAGTCCAGTTGAGCTAAGTTCCTTTATTTGCTTACACCTTATAGACAGAATCTTGCCAGACTAAAGCTATACTACTTCAACTAGTGGATATACCCTGGGAGATTCTAGGGAGTGGCTATCCTGAACTTCTTATGCTTCCCACGGTCCCCCTGTGGACTATGTTGTCTCTTGTCCCCTTTCCCTTCCTGGAATGGACCCCCTCCTCCCTGATAGCCTTGCTCTCTGCTGCTATCCACCACATCACCCTCCCCTTCGTAGACACATTCCATCACACAACCCTTTTCCAATGGATCTGACCTCACTACAGCCCAGGACTTTACACGATGCCCACCCAACTCCCTGCCCTTCCTGATTTCATTTTATTTTTAGGTTCTTTGAATTAAATATAGTAATGCATGTGAAGCTAGCATACTGTAAAACAAAGCACCAATCTCAAGTATAGGCAGTATTTCCAACAATGTCTTTAGACCTTGTATAGACCCCCTCCGGCAAGTTATTTTTGGAAAAAAGAAAAAGAAGATAGTAGGGGGCATCCTGAGAGACTAAGCAGTTGTTCCAGTTTTCCTCTTGGTATTGTGTGGATGGTCGCACCCAACTTTGTGAAAATGCCCGCAACATGCTCTCAACATTGAAAACATCCCTCCCCAGTTCAAAAAAGTAGACAATCCCTGGCCTCCAATAAGGCTGTCATGTCAGACTGTGAATCAGGCTAGCAAAATGGCATTCTTGCATTATTACTTAAACCATGTTATGACTTCATTTGATTGCCTAGTTCCCACTATGCCATGAGCCATGTATTCAATAGACTAAAAATAAAATAAAATATTATATATATATAATATTT